TATATGCAATCTTTCTTTTATATATTACCACCTCTGAATTAACTACTTTTATGAATCCGGTGTCCATCTTGTTGTGTTAATGAGGTATGGCAACTTGGACCGATGCATATATGTGCCTGGTCCTACGTTGGTAGCTGACTGGTTGATATTCGTATTTACAGTTACGAATCGATTCTTACACTATATGAAGTTTAGATGCATAATGACTTAGTAAAAGGTGTGAAGATGGGTCCTTGATTTTGTTGTAAGTTATTTACATCATTTTCAGAAATTGACCTATGAACTCGTTAGATCAATATTTATGCAGTTTAGTAACCTTATTTTGTGAACCATTGAGCATTTAACTTGCCTGTTGACTGAATTATTGTCGACATTTCGCTTGCTTTGAGTTGCATGTTGGTTTAGTTATCCTATCCAATCTTATTAGTGATATAAAATACAGTATTGTGGTTTTAGCTTGATAACAGACGTATCAGTAGTGTCTGGCTTATTAACCACTGTCAAGCAGCCTCGAGCGGTAGTTTTTCGGAGTTAGACCAACAATCGCATAGTAGCAACTACAAGAGACAATAGATTAGCAAAATAGCTTCCAAACCAGGAGGTCGCACGTTAGAACATTCATCGCGATACTTTGATTCGGGCAGTGAGGTGACATCACTGATCCTTAAACAAGCAGCGGGACTCAAAGTCAAATTAAGTGCTCTGTACTTGCTATATGAGTTGCAATTGTATCACTTTCGGCTTCTAGACCATTCACCTTAATAAACATATCTACCTACGTATTTTGTGATGCTCAATAGTTCTTCCCATAAATCAAATTAATCAGTCTAATAAAGACTTTAGAGGGAAAAGGAAGTCCATTAAAGTTGAGATCAAATGGTAAGACCAAACAAACCCATTTATGATCACCATACGCCAACAGAGACAGACAGATTGCAATCCTTAACAAAAATCAAACATAATTGGAACAAAGACATTCATTAAGCAATCAGTTTTGTTGGTGTCACAATATATCAGCGTACATCCGAAGTTTGGACGGATAACACGATATACCAAGGTCACATGGTAGTGAGAATGACGGCGACCCATTGGAAGTCAATGAATCACCTAACCATTACCACCCAACAAGCACATTCCTATCCGGATTAGCCCAGTACTTTATATGTATAAATGACTCGTACACATAATCCTTTGGCTTTTCAGACATTTTTAATTTCCTTCCTTTCCATATTTAGTCAAGCAAGAGTCTAGGAAGGACTAAGCATTAACCAAAGCTGATGGGAGAACATGATAAGCATTTGGAGAACTGAATCACTTACAGGCAGGTAAAGATACTGAATACTTATTGAAGTAGGTTTTGTGGTTAGTTGATACACGGACGAAGAATCGGTCCAGTGCACTCTAGTGATGAATACCACCTCCATATTGAAATCTTTCCAGTATTTAGCCAACTGGGGCTAAGTTGTGTTATAAGATTAAGGTTTTCTATCATACCCAGGAGATAGAAGTTGCGTCTAGGCTCAATACAAATAAGTACATACATAATTACCATATGCCAACATTATTATTTTGGTGTGATACTATCCCTGAAGAACTAATATGACGAGAACTTTCAAAAATAGCCGAGATGCAAAAACATTGGTGGGCGGATTTGACCATATAGACTGAAAACATCTTGACTGGTGAAAACCAGATATTTGATAGTACAACTTGCTGACTGACTTTAAATAAACCTTGAAGGACCAGTCACTGCCAGGGAAGTCCTACTCGCTGCCCTCTTGAGGTGGGGGTGTTTACGAAATTTGAAGGACAAAATGCGAATATTCAGAGCTTTAACCGGGTCGGTGGACACGGAGGAAGTTGGGGAACTGATCCCAAACTAACGATGCACATGGGCTTCAACATCCTAAGGAAACAAATGGCGTATGAACCTATTTTTGGGACTGTATCTCCTAACGTTTCTCCACCACCTTGTAGACTAGACCTTTGGATCAAAAGCTCTGGGTGTGGCCCCTTAAATAAACCACCTGCATCAGTTTAGACTCTTAGGCAGTATTCCAGCCCTCACACAAACCGGATGACGAAGGGTTGAGCATATATATCTAGTGCCTCCTTGAACCAATGTCTGTGTTTAAATAAATAAATATAGGACCAGATGAAACCAGTGAACCTCTGGTATGAGCAACTTACTGATCTAATCACGTCTCCGATTTTTAACTTGATTGTAATACATTTCTTTCCTTGTTAAATTTCTGAGTCGTCAAGTGTAATAACTTGAAATGACTCACTAGGGTTTAAAAAACCCAGCAAATCATAAGGAACACTTGATATAGAATGAAACGTCTAGTTAAAAACACACAATCAATTTAAGGGAGAACTTTATTGCAGTGTGAGCCAAAAGACTACACCGACATCATATTATCGATCTACTTTAAATAACACACCGACAGTCAAATAAATTCACTCAAATCAAATATTCAACCTTGTCGAAATAAATTGAAAAGTTTGTAAGTTGGCGACCGTACTAACTGGTCGGAATCAAAAGCAATACAGCAAAATGGGTAACACGATATTATTTTACAGAAGATTGCGCATAGACGAGATAAAATACAAATCATGAAATCATAAGATCAATGGAGCTTTCAGCATATTTTTGCTCAAAACTGAATCCTAGAAAAAATTAAATTTCAGCATAGAGAGAGAAAGCGTGAGGATATAGTTGGATGATTCGATGATCAAACATGTGAAGTAAAATAACAACATATTACAATGATATTCATGAGTTGACGAGTGGAATGAATGTCGTAAACATTTTATCGAAGAGAGAAAAACAATATATTTTAGTTACACAAACGGCTCCAATAAATCATTAAACAGTAATGTAGATTATAAATTTGTATGACCCATAGTTATGTAAATCCAATGCAAGTAAGGAAGTATGTAGCATACTGGGTAAAAATAATATAGCACATGACAGTTTGATTCGAGATCTGAAGATCAATTAAATTCTCCAACAGGAATTACAGCAACCCATATACGTAAAATTGTGACCAATAAGACTACAAAGCAAAATCATTAGTTGAAACAAACTGAACATGCAAAATAATGACGTAAAAGACTGGAGGATTGAAGAAACATGTGATATACCCATGTTATAAGAAAATATTGAGTGGACGAATCAGGACTATCTACAACACTGTCTTTGTTGTGTAGGCGAATCGTTTGGCGTAAGCTGTTGTCCCCCAGATGGTCTAGATGGTTCTGTATGATTAAGTAACTCCCGAGCTAAAATCGCAAGCAAGTTTACAAGGGTAGATAAATTACAGTGAATTAAAATGGAAACATTTATCAAAGTGAGACTAATATACAAACAAAAAGTTGTGATTTGCTGCATCACAAAATATCTCTATTGAGGCATCTAAAAAAACCTTAGCTTATAATGCACTTCATTTCTGACTGCTAAATGTTCCTGAAGTAATTGTCTAAATCATCTACAACCACTAAAACATTAATAGCAAAAATGCGATTTGTAAGAGTCAAGATTAATGCCATATGAATGTCGAAACACTAAGGGAATCATAAAACCCTAGAAGATAAAAAAATATACCTCAGTTAAACATCAGATGTTAGAAAAATAATATAATACAATACAAATGAGATAAAACTGTTATTCACCGAAATATGAACTGTTAGAAATTTCACGGAAACACTAGATTCTCATGTAAATGTTTGCAAATTTGGCATTCAGCTACATACTATTATTGATAGTTAACAATATTAACCGGCTGCTCAAACTCTAAACAGTGCTGTTACTTTCGAACCAGAAGTCCAGTGAAAATTCAGTCCTTCAACTACTAAACTAATCATTCATAGCGACAATATAAGGAAAATAATATCGATTGAAAAGACAACGCAGAATGTTAAAGAAAAGAATGGGAAAAGATTAAAATAACCTGCCTAAAAGCAGATTATTGGTCGATATCAAAATTATGCGTAAGGAGAGATATCAAAATGTTATTCAGAATTTCTGTAAACATCTTTATTAGTACTAGATTAAGCGTCTTATCAAATAATCAGTAACTAGTTTAACGATTCCACTACTTAAATTTCAGCTGAAATCAAAACTGATTTTTTACCGTTATATTAAGCTTAAGTAAACTATAGTGATACAAATGCAAACCTAACTCCGCCTGTAGCTCTCCTAGGGTTACTGCAAGTCACAAGCCTTTGTAAAGAGGGAAGATTGAGTATGGGATCAGCAACCCCATCCCGTAGAAAACAACCTTGCTAAAAAGACGTTAAATAGGATAAACAAATTAAACCACTTAAATTCTGTCCTCTGAGTTGAACGATCTTCTTTCAGAAGAACCATGACGCCTCATGATGAAAGCCGAGATTCCTAGGAAATCACGATACCGATCCCCCTTCTAGCAACCAGAGTAACAATTTGGAATGTTCGGATAATGTTGGAGACCGGGAGGACCAATCAAATAGCTGTGGAAATGAGGAGATATGACTTGACAGTACTCGGAATCAGTGAAACCCATTGGACCGAATTTGGACAGAAGCGATTAAATTATGGAGAGATGGTGCTACATAGCGGCATTATTTGCCGACTCTGGGACTGGTTGGAAGAAGCGGAGAGGTGGTCAGTACATGACATGGTGTCGTGGGATGAAAGAAAGCTGCAAAGGACTGGCTTCTGTCGGTCCTTCACGACTCCCTGGTTGGGGTCTGAGAGATGGTGCAACACAGTGGCCAGAGACGTTATCAGATATGGCTCAGAATAGAAGCCAGTGGCGATCCTGCTGTAACCTTCTTTTACTTTCTTCATAAAAAGTGGTTGTGTCTCCCTTACCTGAAAGATTTCTTCTGATTGTACCTTTCCGTTCCCTCATTACTACCACACTGCCTTACACCAATCTCTTTGTTATTGTTCTCTTTTTTTGCGCTCCTTAGCTTTTTTTCTTTCCTACTTCTCTTCGAATTTTCATTGTTTTGTGTGGCGCATATATATTGGCGCTCTCTTGTACCAATATTTATGTGTTCAAATAAATAAATAAATAAATAATGGAGAGATACTACTGTACTCTGTTCACGAAATGTTCCACACACTCAGGGAGTTGCTATGATACTGTTCAAAGAAGCATGTAAGGCACTTTTTACGATGGGAATCTCATGGACTCAGGACCATCAAAGCATCTTTCGAAACAAAAGAAATCACAATGAGTGTTGTCCAATGTTATGCACCCACCAATGATAGCAACGACGATGATAAAGATCAGTTTTACGAGATGCTGCAATCGATCCTAGCGAACTCTTCAGGAAAGGACCTGAACATCCTCATGGGAGATCTAAACGTCCAAGTCGGAATGGAGAACACCAGGTATAAAGACATCATGGGACGACATGGACTGACAGGAAATTTATTGGCAATTCAAAAACTTTATTCCTTATGTGCTTACTAGTACGATCCGAATCTAGCGCAAAAACGAAATCTTCGAATACTCAACTGATATCAATATTATTAAGGAATCTATTTCCATTGTTGCTAGCTTGACGTGGTTGTCGGGCTTGCCTATCGTGATGAAGCAACCGGGCTATATTGGCTGAAACAACCGTTACTCAAGGTCCTACCATGCCAGACAGGTCGGTTGAAGAGCGGTAAGACTAAAAGCAACAAACCCAAGGTCCGAAGGCGAAGTCGTACTGCTGACTGTATAGAGGTGACCTGCAAGTCTAACTTCATGATATGCAACATGCTCACGCAAATTTATGAAAATTACCTATGGCAGTGAACAGTTCGGAGACATTAGTTGCAATTTTGGCTGACGTCTCCATAAATAGTAATCTATTTTTATCGGCGTATTCTTGTGCTTCCTAAAAAATGTAAAGAAAAAAACTAATTAAACTTCTAATATACAGAATACTGAACAAAACTAGGAAACCCTTTAAAAATGGAACCTCTTAGAAAAATTGTTGTACAATGCTTGTAAACTACATTGAATCAGGAGTTTAAAACACGAATAAATCTAACATGTATGTATGCTTAACGACACAACAGTTTCGATATGTTAATGTTCACAAAAAGTGGACAGCTCAAAAAACTTACGTATAAACCAAAAAATGTTCAAAACTTTTTCGAGTTACATTTAAATATTCAGATGAAATTTTACAGATTTAATAATTAGGAAATTGAATATTTTAAAACCACGCCCGAAGATAAGAGAATAACAGCAGATTTATGAAACTGAGAACATATATACGTTATGTATGAAAAGAGCTCAAACCACATTTTTAAGGATAATAGCGATTTGATGACGATGAAAATCCATGAGACAGGAAAGATGTGTACATTTATAAAAACGTTTCACTTGCTGAATCCCGTACCTACGTTTTTTCTAGTATCCATTACTACCACCAACAGCATATGTCATGTCTTCAACAGCTGCTTGAACGTTTTCTTATTTTATAACAGCTATCCACTATATAAGCTTGGGTGCAATAAACATGCAGCTGGGAAAGTTACTTAATAATGAACTCGAAGAAGAGTATAAATTGTTTTATGAATAAACCACATTGTTTTCGAAATTCCACCCCAAAATTAATTCAAGAATTGTCTAGTCTCCAAATACAGTGATGAGTTAAGCTAGTGAACTCCGATCAGATTGGGAAGAAACATCAAACAGTAATAGATAACCGTGATATTATGACTGATCCTTAATCACTCTAACTTTTAACCATTGATTTCTATCATATGAGGTAACAAACAAGGCAAATCTATAACATCTCACAACTTAGGTGGGTAATCAGTGAGTGCGTTATCAAATAATATTTCTTGATACGACCAGGCCTAGCTGTTTATCAACATAATCATACTTCATTCGTCATCGCTCATGTTGGCGAATGGTTACTCATCACATACAACATACAAACGCACATCAACTGACTTGTTCTTCTTGCAGCCACATTCCGCAATCCTAGGAAAACAAGTGAGTACTGTAACTTGAATAAATTCTCCATTCCCTACACCATATATTACAGATATCGGGTAGCAAGGTAAATTTCTGCAAGATACTGTTTTTTAATTAAGTCAGATATCTCATCGGTGGAACAAATACCTTCCGCAATTACTGTCACATCCTGAAGCATAAGTGTACTTACTACTGACACTAGTCAATTGGTTAGCCTCAGGGTGGCATTTAATTTTATCAATCGAGACTCCGTAAAAGATCCCGTTTGAAGAGGGAGGACCTAACAACTACAATTAATTATTAGGAATGAACTTTTAAATGCAGGACAAAGTTGTAGAACGTAGTACAACTGTTAACCCAAGTCACCACACGCTACATCAGCATTCCAAGATGAGGTTAACAGAATGGAAAGTATAGTGAGGTTAACTTTAATCCAATGGAAAGCTAAACATGAGAAAGTTAAATCGACTGCATACTGAAATGAGACAAACAAAAAGACTAGCAAGTAAATGGAAACAACTGCATCAATTGTATTAAAGTGTTAAACAGGGAATATAGTTCAAGGAGTGAAATAAAAGGGTAGAAAGTACGATTACTGGAACTCAAGATTCTCCATGTGCATGAACTTACGTTACACTAAATACTTGTAGAATCGTATGAATTACTTTTGGTAAGTAGTGTTTAGATACTTAAAGTACTAAGTCGGTGGAAAACTCATGAAAGTTAGAGGTTTGAACACATTACCTCGAACGAAACAGCTCGCTGTCCTGCGAGATCCACTTTGTTTCCTGCAAGTGCAATCACCCCACTAGTATTTGCTTTTTCTTGAAGTTCATTAACCCAGGATTTTGCACGTTCGAATGAGTTCTGGTTAGTAATATCGTAAACGACAACTGCCGCCTGGGCTCCTCTGTAGTACATAGGGGCCAAACTATGATAACGCTCTTGTCCTGAATTTAAAGGAAATTGTAGATTTCAATAGCCAATACAGAAAATTATAGCTAGTTAGACATGTGTGTATATATTAATATTTGATTATTTATGTAACCATCTATTATCTGTAAGGTCACAGGTTCAAGTCCTAGGTCCACCAAGCTACTTCAGTCAGTCAGCTACAACGTAGGACCAGGCACATATGTGCATCGGTCCAGGTTGCCATACCTCATTAGCACAGCAAGATGAACAGCGGATTCATAGGAGTGGTTAGGTCAAAGGTTGCAATAAGGATATAGTATAGGAAGAAAGAATTAGTTCGTAGACAGAAAGAATGAAGTGATTTTAGTCTCTTAGTTTAAGGGAAGACAGGGAGTGTATACACCGACGCCATTGTGATCGATTCTGAGCCATGTCACCAAGAGTCTCCAACCAAGCTACTTACTATAAGCTGATGGCATTAGCACAAAACCCGAAACAAGTTGATGCTACGAAGCTAGAATTACTTACCAAGCATAGACTTATTATTCATACTTTAAGCTACATCTTATGTCAGGGCCAGTGATAATATTTGTTCCCCTCGATGGAAGTAGATGGGGAGGAGCTTGAATCTACAACACACTGGCTGAAAGGTTATTGCTTCTACGTGAGTACTCTACTATTAAATTTAATACGTGGAAAGTAAGCGTGCTTTAAAGGTGTGCTCCGTTGCCTCAGTTGAATCTAGATGGCAGAATCAGTCTAATGCTTCAATTCTGTTACACTTATAGGATGGATGTTTTAACAATTTTACACTTCTAGTTTCTATGTGCAGCAAGTGAAGGCAAACCAAGAAGGCACTTTGACGTTAATCACCTCACCTCTTGGAATAAGGGGTTCAATAAGCTAAGGTAGATACATCTTGTGCTGATTTCAGATAACTTGCTTTAGTGTACAGAAATCCTGATATGTTCAGCTAAAGGGAATCTCCCAAAAAGATAAATATACGAGCAACTCGTTAAAACTAACGCTGACATGTAGACACAGAGTATGGAAGTAGATCAGCTGAGCTGTCAGTCACACTACCCTTCTTATTATAAACATCTGACACCAACTGCACCTGCCATCAGTTAGAAAAACAGGACCTCAGATATCAGTGTGGGCTACATATATGTGAGTAGAAGTATCAAGACACGAACCTAGCATTAGAGTACTGTTGCTTACCTCAATGAACTGTGATACGATTGTATATACCTACTGATGATAAACATCATTAAACAGATGTGGTAGTGTGATCTACTTAATTTCTAGAAGATAAGACTTTGATATACTCAACTGTCAGTACGAGTCGCAACCGTGATACGTATACAGACAACGCTAAATTTAGTAAATCCATACAAAAAAAGCCACCAAGGTTGCGTTTCTATTTGCTATTCATTTAAGTCAAATTCTCCGAGTGATTGAAAATAATGTAGATTAATTAGAACCATTGACAATTCTTCCACATGTTAACGAATAAAAAGCCTCACCGTAATGGTTCCCAAAGTACACTATTTGGATAACTCACTTATCATGTTACCTACGCTTTACCAACCTAATGGTGCTCCATACATAAACTACCTTAAAGCACACCGCTCTGCCCCCAAATGCCCTGGTACGGCCGAGAAGGGGGAGAGTTAGCTCTCCATATCGAAATGCTCTCACATGGCCACGTGCACACAACCACTTTCAAGGAAGCCCTACTTACTGCCCTTTCAAAGTGGGGTAGCTGTTTACGAAATTGAGGAAACAAAGAGCGAATGCCCGTGGCTTTAACCGGGTTGGTGGATACGGAGGGTCAACCTAGGGGAATCCGGAAACCCTTATTCCAAATCAATTGTGCACATGGGCTCCAAGATCCTAAGGAAATAAACGGCATATGAACCTATTGTCGGTTACCAGCCACTATAGGACTGCATCTCGTTACGTTGCCCCACTGTCTTGTGGATTAGACCTCTGGGACAAGGGCTCTGGGTGGGGCCCCTTAAGAAAACCACCTGCTTCAGTTTGGGCACCCGGGCAGTATCCAAGCCCTTACATAAATCGAATGACTCATGTGGCTCATATCTAGTTGGTGCCTCCTTGAACCAATATTTGTTTAAATAAATAAATACCCTGTATTAATAGACACTAAACATTACTAAACGGTCACGAAACAAAACAATGGTCTCGAGGCTAATATGGTCCATAAATTAATATATCCTTTATTTTCTATCTATTTCGGGTTAGGGAAACTGAAACGTCAGGCCTCGCGTTTAAAAGCCAAAGGACCTCATAAATACTGAACACATGCTTTCTAAGCGGCAACCGACTCTTGTACCCACTCCTAGAAGTTTGAGCTTAATTTATTCATCTAAGTTTAGGTTTAACCATATAAAAAAGTGCACTAGGAATTTATTAACAGGTTTTCTGGCTTATCCTAAAAGCAAGTAATCTGACTTCCGGAACGTGATATGCTAGTGACAGCCTGAACACTATTGGAGCCCTAGAATAGACACTCATTCAGTGATCACGCGAAAACTGACTTCTTAATTTTAATTTATCATTTAAGAACTGAAAAACAACTAACCAGCAGTATCCCAAATCTCAAACTTTACGGTTGCTGGAGGATCATTTAGGACGATCGTCTGTGTCAAATAGGCAGCTGAACGATTAAATCAGGTATTAAAAACCAACCCCCAATAGTAGCTTCTTGGTACTCACTAAACTGACACTTTACGAGTCTCAGGACTATGCTTGATTTCCCAACAGCTGATTCTCCAAGTATCACCAGTTTATGGGAGCTTCTGTTTGCCATCCTCAAGGACTACAAAGTACTTTACAAACAACCTAAAACTGTTCATATAGTTGGAAACAATGATAATATGAACAAACCAACGTCTAATAAACAAGCTGAAAGACGGAGTGAAAAACAGCAGTTCCGTTGGCAAAATATTAAGCCGCCAAAAGGTACGGACCGATGCGTTAAAACAGACAGTACAAATGGTTCTGGATGAAGAACAAGAAGCTCCCTTCCTAATGTGCTTCTCTATCTGGTAGCAGTGAATCAACGATGCCTTCGTGTAAGAACATGGGTATATTCAACGATAAAAAGTTGAAGTTAGACATTAACACCTTTGAATGCCTGCTCAGTTGTCTAGTTGGTTCAAATGGTTGTGGACGGAATAGGAGAAGCTTTCGCTTAACAGGCTTTCGTGTCTAGTAGCAGGGGATCACCAATACCTCCAGGCAAGAACCTAGGTATGTTAACAATAAAAGAGGAGAAATAAATTGGTAAGTCATAGTGCGATACTATCCTTAATCCTTAAGAATAGATCGAGTTGCCTCTTAAAGGACTCCTGGGAAGTCGCTTGAACTAGCTTGGCCGGCAGCGAATTCCAGCATTTGACAACTCTTAAGGAGTAGGAGTTATGTCTACAGTCCATTCTGCTATGTTGTGTCTTCCGTTTTTGGGTGTTACCCTGTAGTGGCATTGAACAATAACCGCACAATCCACAAAGCTGAACACGAGACTACTCAGGAAATAGGTATTCAATATTTAACGCGGATAAATACCTAACGATGGAGAAGGCGCGAAGAATGAATTGAATGGACTGGAGTTGATCGAGTGGCATGGCTCGGCCGTGCAGGCGTGGTCTCTGCTGAATGTTACCTCATATCTTCTATTCATATTAAATATATTGTTCTTTCTCTAGCCTAACTTTGTTCTTCATCATGTATTGGTGATTTATACGATACAGTGAGTTGGTGTAGTCGATGGTGTGACTTCCACGTAAGATCTTATAGATTAGGCAGTTATATCATGACAAATCTACAAATTTAGGATTAGGTCTATTATTAGAGCAGTACTAATATCATAGTAGACTATAGTTCTACAACCCCTTAGGTTAGTGTTGGAACTAAGCTTAAGTAGGTGTTTAAGAGGATGTCCAGAAGTGTTAAGGACACTGTACGCCATCAGAAGGTCACCTCCAAGACGTCTATACTCTAATGGTTAAAGGTTAAGTGATTGGAGGCTCTCCTCATAAGGTTTAAACTTGAGTCCTCGAACTGATTTCGTGACTCGCCATTGGATACGCTCCAGGGTGTCCTTATCCTTTTGGAGTGAGGAAGGAAATACTATGTTTCCGTACTCTAAATGGGGACGAATAAAAGTGTTGAAGATTATGTAGAAAGTTCTTCTGTCAAACTGGCCAAAAGTGAGCTTCAAAGTTACCAGTGCAAGGTTTGCTCGGAAGGCATTTTTGTCACAGTTAGCTTAAGACACCAGGACTCCTAAATCTTTCTCGACTTGGGATACTACTAGAGAGGAGGTACCCAAGTTATAACTGTAGTCTGCGACATGTCGTAGATGGACTACTTTACACTTTGAAGTGTTAAAAGTAAGTCCATTAGTATCTGCCAAACTTTGAAGTCGAGTCAGATCCTCCTGAAGTGCCTGTATATCGTCTTGGTTGCGTATCTCTCTCCAAAGTTTCACGTCGTCGGCAAAAAGTAATGTCTGACGATGCCTGTTGAGGAAGATCATTAATGTAGATCAAGAAGAGAAGAGGTCCTAGTACTGAGCTTATTGATATGACATGTATGGTTAACCTAATCAAAAGCTTTTGAGAAATCTAGGTAGATGATATCAACCTTCCCCTTGTGATCGACGATGCTTGTCCATCTGTCCACCGCATTCAGCAGGTTGGTTATACAAGAGTAACCCTTCCTGAAACCATGCTGTTGGAGTGAGAAAAAATTTAAGGACGGTAAATAGTCATTTATACCATCGCATATCAGGGACTACATGATTTTTGAAGGCATTGAGAGAAGAGCCACCGGTTGGTAACTTGAAGGTTCGCTGCCTCGACCTCCTTTGAAAATTGGTGTGATGTGAGCCAGCTTCCAATTTTCCGGTGGTCTACCTCGGCTTAGCGAGTGTGAGGACATCACGCAAAACGGCATTGCCAGGATTGAGGCTGCTTCCCTCAGTATAGCAAAATGAACCATATCCGAGCCAGGAGAAGTGCCAATTATTAAGTGCTGCAGTTTCCGGAACACCAAGTCAGAGCTAAGGTTCGCCTCGGAAAGTCCTGTGCAGTAGCAAATGAAGCTTTCGTTAGTATAGTTTATGTGGGTCGGTTGAAATGTCCGAGAGTATTGCTCAGCCAAAAGGTTAGTGGCATCGCCGGCGTTATTGGTCGAGTCATTAGGACCTTGCAGCTGGGAAGCTCAAGTTTCGGCTTGTCGAAGAGAGGCTGCATAGCGGAATTAGCTTTTCGGATTGAAGACAAATTTATCCATAAGCTTTATCTGGTACTGGAGCCTGTCTTCTCTTATAGCCTTTGTGCATATGTCCCTTATATATTTGTATTGCCTGTACGCTTCATTGTTGTCAGTTCGTTTGTACTCTGCCCAGCAGTGCCTTTTGCACCTTAGCAAGCGAAGAGTGCGGTTCCTGATAATTGTGGGTTGGTGATGGCTATGGGGGACCGTTTGAGGAGCTGAATGATTTGTAGCACATATGAGCGTGTGCAGTAAGAAGTCCCAATGAGCATCCACATAGAGTTCAGGGTAAACATCCCAATCCACCTGTTGTAGATAGTCCTGTAGAGCTGACACATTCAACCGTTTGAAATTCCAGCGCAATTTGTTGGTGGGGTATCTTAGCTCAGCTTTGCTGACAAAACTGAAAGCTATAACGGCGTGATCCCTTTTTCCCAGGGGAGCCAGGATTGAGAGGTTGTCAAGTAGGAACTCTTCGTTTCCAAATACACAGTCTAAGCGCGATGGTGTCTGACTGTTTCTCCGACGAGTTGCCGACTTTACATCTTCGTATAATCCCAAGTCCTCAATGGGGTTGAAGAACCGAGCTTCAGTTTAGTTTTCATCTCCAATGTAAGTATGTTCCGCGAAGTTGACTCTAGGGAGATTGAAGTCCCCTAAAATCAGGATATGAGTGAAACCGAGACGAGTAGAGAGGGATAGTCCTTCCAGCATACGACTGTCGTACTCGATGTCGGCGGTGGGCTTCCTATATATGACTCCGACTAGACATCTCGAAGTAGCAGACAATCTTACAGAGCACCATATAGATTCATCAAGATTGTTAAACTTGAGGTTATGAACTTGGTGTACCTCCAAACAAGATCGTATGTAACGGCTACACCACCCCCAATTCCTGTTTTTCTGTCGTTGCGAAACAAAGACATCCAAGGTGCTGCTAACTTCTGGTCCGAGAACTGAGAAGCTATCCAAGTTTCAGTTATTCCTATCAGATGAGCCTTATTAGTATTGCTAAGTTCACGTAGCTCATCCATTTTGTTTGGTAGACTCGCGGCGTTCATGTATAAGCAGTTTATGCTTTCAATTTGAAACGCGTGAGCTTCTTCCTGTTTGTCTATACGTGAATGGACAGTTAGCCTACCTATATGAGGTTTCCCGAGTTTTTAGACCCTGTCCTTTACACGTTTTTTTTAATCATCGAGACAGTCCACAAGTGGAATGGTCAGCTCCAACTTGCTTTTGTGCTTGGTCCTAGCTTCATATAGCCTATCCGGGTGCATGTGGTTTCCAGCTGGCAACCGAAGTCTGTTGACACGGAAAGCCTCCAGAGTTGAAGCCGCCATTTGAGAGGATGGGAAAGTTATCTTCACTAGCCGGGGTCTGGAATCACCGTCCTTCTTGGCTAGTCTCGTCACGTGTTGAGTCGGTAAAATTTTGAGCCTCAAGGACTGTCTGATGAATTTCCATTCCCTGTTATTTTGGTGGTGTTTTGTTCTCTGAGCTGGATGGTTTGGTCGTGGAGCTTTCATCGTTCTTCTGAACGACATCATATGGAGAAATTCGAACACTTCACTTCTATCTGAAGTTTGTGCTGATGATGTCGTTCAGAAGAACGATGAAAGCTCCACGACCAAACCATCCAGCTCAGAGAACAAAACACCACCAAAATCATCCACCTGAGCTACAAATCTTCTCCACCATTCCCTGTTATCGGAGTTTGCTTGGTTAGGGTTCGTGTTTTCCGGTACCCCTTGCACAATTATATTCCTTCCGCGGAAAAACTTCTCGCGAGATCCTTCTGGGATTTTCCGGATGAGATTGCGCTCAGAATACGGTATGTCAGAAAGTATTTTTACATTTCCATCTGATTTCAGTAAATGACTCGCTAGCAAGACATCTCCTACGTCGGTAGCATTCTTAAGTGTTACAAGAAGTAGCCTCGGATGATTTTGATGCATAGATTCCTTTCCCCGTGTGACCGTCAAAGGCTCTATTCTTGGAAGTTCAAGTTTCTTATTCAATTCTCCCAAGAGCATCCTGTCATTTTTGTCCTGCAAACTGAGAGGAAGGTCGGGGTTGTCTTTGAGTTTCATGATTATGAGAAAGACATCACGAACCGTTATTTTCGTCCCAGGTTTTCGGTGCGTTCAGGTTTAGCACCTTGTTGTTTGGAAGTCGAAGCACGTTTATGAATCCTAGGCTCTTTGATGACCGAACGGACATTCTTGGGGGTAGACTGTGCGGTCAAATCACCAGTTGATTTCCGTACAACAGCTGGGATGTTCAACTTAGACTGTGACGCCTGGTCCTTTTTAGCTATTTTGACATAGATCTAATCACCTACAGAGTTTATAAGAACTACTGTCGCATTCAAGGACCTTGAGCTGTGAGACCGGAGATTGCTGAGGGAGTCGAGTACCGTCGACGTAATGATGGTGCTGAGTTTCAACATGTCATCATTAGTGCTAATACATGCTCCACCGATGGTATACCTGTCGACATCCCTATTCTTGTTTCCGTTGCGCGCCCTTGTTTGTCTACCCGTTTTATGACTGTCATTTTCCAAGTTTGCTGACAACTTATTCCGCAGACCTGTCAATAGGACAATGATATTATTCAGCGAAACTACAGCATCCGTGCTGCATGTAACACATTCTCACTTATGATCCGACTTGC